CTCTTCTTGTTTCTTCGCAGAATTCGAAAATTCGACAAAAACCTTCAGCACTACATTTTCGATATCAAAAGATAACTGCTTTAATGCATTTTTTGCGCTGCTGTGTAAAATGTGATTATTGCAATGAGCAGCTACAATATTGTCATTTTCCAGCAATAATTTTTGGTAAACAGATTTGTTCACTCCATAATTGACCGATGCATTATCTGCTGAGTAAGCTGAAACATTATTTATTTCCAATTCGTTATCACTAAGAACTCGACACAGCTGATTTTTTATTGATGTAGAATCTTCGAAAGAATCCTCATAAAAGTCTAAAATTTTCACACACAGTCCTTTTTCACGAGTAAAATATTATGCAACAACGGGATACATTTTGCAATTTCCTTTGTTCGATGCGTCAGTGGAAAGAGAAAATGGAATTCCAATTTTAAGATCATTGAGAACGAACTCAATAGAAAAAGGATACAAAATCTCATTGACAATAGCTGATGATTTGGTTCTTCCACAAGAAATCTTTTTTACAATTTCTGAATCATCAAAAATTTGCTTCATAAACTTAATACCACAATCTTGAGCCAGGAAAGAAATATGGTGTTTGATCCCATGGTAAGTTTCAGCCATTTCAGATACAGTCACTTTCTCACTGAAAGAGGAGTCTTTAACAATGAAAAACGAATTGATTCGCTTGTTGCTGGAAGCTATTTTCTCCTTATCTAAATTATTTTTTGTGCTTGCATGCTGTGTGACAGCTTTTATACCATTATATTCAATTGTGAACGATTTCTGACACAATTTACAGTAGGCCGTCGTATTTGTTCTGTCGGTTTCGTTGTTGGTAATCCTTGCAAAAGTAGCTTCCCAGTCTTTGGTGTTTTTGCACACTCCTCTCTTTTGTTTTAAAGAATTCGAAATCTCGCCGCTGTCACTCTCATTACTCGATGCCATTTTAGGTCAGTCGACACAAGCTACATTTTAAAAATGTGAACTGTACATAATTTTATAATATATTTTTATTTTAATCTCATTATTAATTTTTTTCAGAGAATTAAGTTCAATGGTTATTCGATCTTCGTCTCATTCTAACTTATGAAAAAAAAGACAAAACGCAATTCTCCTATAATTATTCTCTTAGACTATACAGCTTTATATTACGTACCATTTCATCATAAAGCTTTTGAATAAAAAAAATGTCCACTATTTTGTGAAAAAAAATAGTGAACATAATGTGAAAAAAGCGGACTGTCCGCTCAAATAGTGGATACCTGGCAAGGGTACTCATCTCTCCTATTGTTTGTAGAATTCTACACAAGATATTTCCACTAGGAGAAAATATCTAATGACAAAACTATTACCATATATATACTTTATTAAGTATAAATATGCCTAGACTAAATGATGGTGATTGTTTAGCCATTAGCCAGATAGTAATAAAACCTACCCCAGGCATAAAAAAATTTACAAAGAATTTTTTTCACATGCAATTCCTTTAAAATTTTCCTAGAGGAATACATCCCTGTTCCCATTATTTCGTTGTACAAGTTTTCCTTCCCTAAAATTGTCTTCTCATGTATGTGAAATGTATCAAATAGCAAAATCCACAACTAGGAAACCTAAATTTAAATGATTCACCAAACAGCTGGCAGTAAATGTAATCAAATGAATAAATTTCACATTTCTATTCCAGAAAGCAACTGGTACCTGTGGTCTTTAACAATAGGCTAATGAGTGTGAATAAAACACGTTTTGGTAAATGGCCAGTTTAATTTAGTGTGACAACTAGTTTATTGTCATATATTATATGTTAATGTCAGTATTTTCCATTTAGACAGTTGTGTAACTTACTGAAATGCACACCATGTGTACCCAAACCAATGTCTAAACATTACTGGTAAGAGAAATGCACTGTACCATTTTTTGGTGTCTCCTGACACTGATTGGTTTTGTAGGGCCTTCATTTTCTGTTCATGTGGTTTTGAAATTTTGGCTCATCTTTCTTATTAGAAACATAAAACTAGATAAATATGAGTTTCGTGAAATACTTCTGTTTACTTTAAATGGAAAAAGAAGCAATCAACAAAACATATCAATCTGTGAACACATATTTCACAATCACATCCAGACATTTTATGTTTTGTCGGAGTTTAGAGAAAACATGACATGTAAAGTATATCTCCTAAACATGTTTACATATGAATGTAATGTGAAGCATGGGTCTTGTTTTCACCATTTGAAGAATGGATAACATTTAGAATGGCAAGAGAGTTCCTAATTTCCTTCACAATCTAAATGCCATATTAATTTTAAAAATAGAATTCTTCCCAATGGCCCTATCAGCATCTTTGAGTGAATCATCTTTTCCCATCAAGTAGGAATAATAAATATAGAAAGAATTATGTATTTTGAAGATATTTTCATATTCTCTTCTTTGAGGAATTTGCCAAACTACAACCCAAAGTTTATAGGTACTTTATATTTGGACAATATTTCAATTGTCTAATTTTAATATATTTCATATTTATTTTGTAATTCCAATATTTTGGTATACTGTTGTAATGGGAGAAACTTAGTTTAAAACCTTAACAAATATAAAAATGAAGTAAATCCAGAGCGTCAAATATTAAGGAGTCATGAAAAGGCAGTTCTGTTCAATTGTTTAATAACAGCGAGGTTAACTAAATTCAGTTAGTTAACTGATTCAGGTTAACTGATTCAGTTTGCTGAATCAGCCAGAGGTGTGATAATACTGATACAGGAAATAAAAAATTACAAGGTAGACAAATAGCTATACATACAACAAAGTATAAAGACTCTTAAGAGCATACAACAATAGAGTGATAATCCAAATTTTCACTAGTCTTAAATCCTCAGCATAACACTGAATATCAGTTGCATCTTTTATCGGAAATTCAAATATTTGGATGTTCTAGCTTTTCCTATTATGTTCATAAATGCATGTGTTTTCCATCTCCCTATTCTCAAATGCTTTCCAGCTGCTGTTGTCCTATGTGGAAAGATTTTCAAATCAGGCATGAGGAAGAAGTAATAAAGAAGAAGTAATAGAGGATAAGACTCAATTATGGATAGATAAAGAATAAGCTATCACTGGTGGACATGAAGTTTGGGGTTTGAACATAATGAACACAAATCAGGTTAAAAGAAACAAATACTTGATAAACATATCCATATTTTAATATCTTCTCTATATAGAGCTCCGGAAAAAATATTATCTATTTATTGCTTGCCTGCAGCTAGATTTCTCTTAATTATGTAAACTACGTAGATGGAGCAAAAGAAAAGATTTGTTAGACATTCAGAATGAAGCAAAAGACTTAGAGAAAATACAATTAAGATGAAAACATATTACTATACTTACTGTGTGCCAGTTATAAAGAATACTTTTTATTTCTGCTATTGAATTCAAAGTGAACTGCCAGTAGGTCACTGGGAATTTGTCCTGTTGGTATGTCAGATCAGTTAGCCCTAAGCTCAAAGAAGCAATGCAATGAGTTTGCAACTTGCTCTATGATTAAAAACTGCTGAAATGTGTCAAAATTTATACAGATTTATGGAAGATGGCTGCATACTGTCTAATTAATTATTGTGCACCTGAACATCACAAATGTAGAGATTAGAAGTAGAACTTGAAATCTTCTGTATGTAGCTCTTTGATGTAGTACAGGGCTGTCAAACTCGCGGCTCATGGGCCGGATGTGTCATGCGCTGGCCACACCCACATCAGGTTTAGTGAAGAGGGAACAGTCCCGATACGTCACGTGTCGACGCCATGATGACGCGCGTTTGACACTCCTGATGTAGTACAACCTGTTACTAGAGTTGAAGTGTTGAAACCTGTCACCTGAATATGAAAGGGCGGGTATCTTACATAACATATCATATTCATCTTCAGCTTAATTAAATAACTATCTGATCTGGTGAACTGAGCTGCAACTCACAAAACTTTTTTTCATAAGGTATTACTACCAGACTTTTGATAAAATAACTGCCTGGATATTATGTACTTCTTTAAGAAGAATGTGTGGCAATAAAGTATATGTCTATAAGTCCCAGTGAATTCAGAAGCACTTTTACAAGCAAGTAAATATGCATTTTCAATCTAGGTTTTTCAAAAAAAAAATGCTATTGGAGTTAGACCTTTAAATCATGCATGTCAGCATGCAACCACAGTCGTGATCTACACAGTCAGTACAGATGGGATTAATTGACAATGAACAAATGTAAATTATTATTGAATGGGAATGGCTTTTTCCTTTGCTAAGCAAGACTTGGCCTTCCTAGTTAGGCTTTTAGAATCTGGATTCATTTCTGGTCATGGCAAGTGCTTCCAACTATTCTGTGCACATTGGCATTAGCCAGGGACAATTCCAGGAAAAAGAAACCTCAAACAAGTAAATGGCACAACATTCTTTAGTTTCAGCAAGAAACCTCCTGAATGTTCTCTCATTTAGCAGTTGTAGAAGGTCAAAACAGAAGAGAAGAAAGTCTGAGAATGATGTTACTTATTGATTCTGTTGAAATTGTCCAGGTTGGCCTTCTTCATTGTACTTATAACTAGCAATTCCTTTCGGTAGAGGTCTCCTTGGGATCCTGTTATTTTATGATAACTGTCCAATAGTTAAGAAACAAAGAAAAACTACTTCTTTCTGACCCAGAGAGCATAAGGGTTAGAATGCTGTACAAAGTATCCACAAAAAAAACAGAGAACATTTATTCAACCTCTCAGAAACCTTTCAAAGATAACCCACATTATTTTCATTACCAATCTTGAAATGTTCAGAGCTCTCTCCAGCTGACAAAGACCACAAAAACTGGCTTGCAATCTCATTTCACATTCTTGCATGCTATGTTCATGGTGATTTATAATAAATTGGACTGGCCACTGTAAATGGAGCTGCAAAACCACATGGCACTTTTCCTTTTGGCAGTTTGAAATGACTGGTGAAGTTGTAGCTTGGCAGTTGATTTTTCTGTGGATAGGAACAGCACCCTGGAGTTGGGAGAAAGGGTAAGGCAAGAATGCCTACCTGTGGAGGGAAAGGCTCATTCACAAGCCTATACAGATTCAGCATTCCTACTGCAAAACTGCTTTCCTAGGAATTCCTTCTCTACCACAGCTGATCCCAATGATAAGTGAAGTCTGTGAGCAAAGAACTGATCCAGGAACAATACAAAGTACCATATCCCTGTGAGAAAAGGTGACTATGACTTACTTTTGCCAAATACCAAGTTTTTGACGTAATTTCTTATTTGTAGTGGAAGGATTTATAATAAACAATGCACATGAATACTATACAGGCTAGGGAGGAGAAAATAGCATAGGCAGGTCAAACTTAGTGCTAATTCAAACTTCATTTTCAGCAAGCAAGTTTCTCACAGAGTGAGTAAAATCCTGAGACAACTCAAGAATCATGTTTAAAGAAGATGCCTTATTTGTTCCCTCTACTAGTATTATTAATCTCACTCTAGCATTGGTTCATTTCACAGGAAAACCTTTGACAATGTGTCAAACCTTTTAATGACAGGGATGTTGATATATAAGTATTTTTCCAGATTGTATTGGACAGAGATTGTGCATTAAGCTCCCAACAGATTTCATAACAATAATAGTCTCAAGGTTTGGCTAGGATTTATTGCTTCGCAGTCAACATTTAGCAAAATAATGCATGTAATAGTTGCATATCAAAAAGGAAGCAAATTCTTTTAAAAGAATTATCATTTATAAAATATAATATTTACTTTCTAATGTGATTTTTATATAATTGCCTTTATATGGATTCATCCATATGAAGGACACCACCTAAAGTCAACTTAAATAAATTTGATCAATAAATAAATCAATAAATAATAAGGAACAATTTTTTTAAAAAAAATCAAAAATGTTAAAGCAATGTAATTTAAAATAGTATGCATTAAAAGGGTTTGTATTTTAGGATATGTGAATACACTAATATTTTAAAAGAAAAAACTCAATGAAATATTTTTGTAGAATACAAATAGATAGAAAATTGGACTTTTTTCTGGATGTAAGCTTCTGAAATATATTGATCATGTATATATGCAAGATTATTTTTGATTGTTTTATAGTGTAGGTTGAATTTTGTGTTAACATAAAGTACAGAGAAACAAGTCAAGGATAAAAGAAAAAATCACAGGATATAAAAACAGTCATAAGTCACTTTTTCAGTGCCATTGTAATTTTGAATGGTCACTAAATGGACTATTATGAGACAAGGACTGCCAAGAGTTGAAAGTTCAACTGTCAGTCATTTATTTTACATTTTCAGATTTTTACATTGCTTAATCCTTCACAAAAAACAAGTTTAATATAATATCTATTCTAATGTAATATCTGTTCCCTTGCTATCGGACCTCTCCCAGTTTCTTGAGATTATATCTGTGTTTTGTCAGAATTTATTTAAAGTTTGGAAAGATAATACCCTAAATTCTGTGCTAAGGTCACAAAGTTCATGCAACATGAACATATTAAAAAGTAATGTGGTGTTTTTAAATAGATTTAACTTTTTAGTAGGCTTTTGCTTTGTCAGGATTGTACAAACGACTTCAAAGTAAAGTAATAAATCAATTTTTCTGGACCGTCCTTTTCCATAAACCATACTGGTCATAATAAGATTCTTCTAGTTTAAATTTCAGCTAGGAAAATTTTTAATGAGTCACAGCCAATTTACTTAATCAAGCAGCTAAAAATATATCTTGGAAATGAAATTAATTCCATTATATTTAAATTTAAAAAATAATTTAATGGTCATCTTAATGTTCATTTTGTAAAGACAAAATTCTTTAGTGAAAAACACACAATAAACAGTTTTTAAAAATGATACCACAATAACAGGATCTTGAAAAAACTGGTATAAGCAATTATCTCTGGATAGTATATCCATTATTGCTCCAGTACAGGTATTCTGTTTTTATACTTTGTATAACTTCCACAATTGTATGTCCTGATACATATATTTCTTATTCCAATAATACCCATAAGACTTAAGCATAAAGTTTTTTCTGCATTCACAGAAACTCTGTAAAGCTTTATGTGACTATGTAGACAGTAGATAAAGTATTATCACGTTTTTCATTACAGTTTGCATTCCATGTTAAAGAATTTGCAAATAATGGAAAGCACAGAATTATCCTTTTTGTCTTATGGAATGGTAATTAGGAAATGTTTAAATAAACATGTGAATCAAGCGAAACTAGACAATTCTTTTTATTGCATACTTGATTCAAGGGGATCAAATATATTTCAAGCTATAAACCGTTTTATATTAGAGAAACAGACATCTTTAAAATCACACAATCCTTTTTATTCTCTTTAAGACAAGCTATAAAACATCCATTTTCTATGAGTACTTCTGTATCATAAAGTGCATGGACCAGGATATCATTTGCTAAGAGGTGCTACATTATTCCTGTGAAAGATCAGTAACAAAGCATTTATTTTGTTTGAAGTTCTACATACTGTTTCAAAAATCTAGATCTGAAAGGGCCAGAAAATAGCTCTGCCTGAGATATTTACCAATTGCTGTCTGACAATGATAATATAAGATTTTTTTTCCCTATGTTCAGGAACGACGTATGATGAAATTGTTCATTTTTTGATGAATTAATCTCTGGATAGACCACTGATGCATAGAAAAACTATGCACTTGTAGAATTAAATATATCCATTTATGTTAAATAATATCACACAGCTCCTTAAAGGGGAGTGATGTGTGAAATATGTGTGAAGCTGAATAGGAGTATATACTAATTATTTATCATTTCTTTTCTGTGTTTTGCATATTGTTTCTTAGCTCAAATGGAAACAGCATGAAGGGGGGGTATGTATGTATGTACATGTATGTATGTATATTTCACACATTTGTTACAGTTGAGGTGTAGGTAAGAAAACTGCCCTGTAGGATCTTTCATATAAACTTGCCTCCTGTAGTAAAAGCTTAGGATCCTCTGATTTGGCCTCACAAAGGCCAAATACACAAAGAATTCTCCTATATGATTAGACAGAATATGATTTCCTTAAGCAAAACTGCTATTGGGGAGGGGTGGAGTTGATATTTTTCCAGTCTCTTGCAGTTCTCATCTATATTTTTCAAGTCTAGCCAAGGACCTTTTATTTTCCAAGTTAAAATAATATTATTTTCCACTTGATAATATGAACACAGAGGTTATTTAAAACAATTATGCCTGTATGTGACTTGTGAATTAAGATTTTCCCAGTTGCTTAGAAATTGCAATTTACTTGTGATGACAACATACCTAAAGGCATTTTGAATCTTTTTAGCCCATTAACATTATTATACTTTTATGACTTTGATTTCTGCCAACACTATTGATTTGAGAAATAACACATAGTTAATGGTTCAAGGGAAGTCTTATTTCAGTAGAAACAGCTCAGAGCAACTAGTCTTTTCTGTGCTTTTCTATGCTATCAGCGGCTGTGTGCTTGCCAACTTTTTATATTTACTTATTGATTGAAGAAAATGGGAAGGAAGTGATATTCTGGTTTATCTTCAACAGTAGTCCAAGCAGGAAAATAATTGGATAGTTCTGTTACACAAAACAAAGTGGAAATTTGCTCACAGAACTACCATGAGTCTCTCACAATTAGTTAAGTGAGCAAAGAAAAGTTGTGTAGACACCCTAAAGGACTGCTACCATTTGGTAGCTTTGCATTTATACAATTTATTAGACCTTATTTTTATTCCTAATATTCACCATGAACTGTGAACCTGATTGACTGAAGCTGGGGAATCTAATCTGGAACTCCGAGATATTTTCAGATTTTGGTATGTTGTTACTAAATATTTAATAAGCAGTAGAATACTTTTTGATTCATATAAATACTAGAAGACTACTCTCTATTCTTTCTTTAGTTAACAGATTTTGTACTTCAAGCCTTGATATCCTTTTTTTCATATCAAACCTATGTAATTCTCGACTAGAAAATGCATTGTCCAAATTGAGGACCCGGATTGTGGAGGCAATAAGCCAACTTTGTATAGAACAACACCTCTTAAGGGGGGCCGAAAGCCCTAATAAGCAGGTATATACAAAAAAAAAAAAGTATGCAGGCTATTGCTATAATGCGTTGTAAGCCGCCCTGAGTCTACAGAGAAGGGCGGCATATAAATTGGACAAACAAACAAACAAACAAACAAATAATAAATTCAGTAAACCTAGCTAAATATTCCCACTTTAATGACCCTTCACAGAGGTAAATTCAACCCTCCCTATTCTTACTAATCACCATACAGCCTGAGAAATTTTCGGGTTTAAATCCACAGATCTCAACATCTCTAAACTAGAAATGTTGATCTAGGTACATTCAGATTCCCCATACAATCTGACCTGATATTGTACTACAGTTACAAAAAATTAGTTCATTTAATTAATCTAATTTTCTGGGTTCACATATCATACTATATCATAATGGGGTTCCTATAGTAGTCATATAATACAATAACCTAAAGTGCATTAGAGTATTAGTAGCTTCATGTGCCATGCAATCACAGACGATGACCTTTGAAAAAGGTTGTGCATCATTTCTATAAATATTTTCTTAGAGTCATCCAATACAGGGAAAGATCAATATATAAGAAACTTTTAAAAATTCCCCAGAATCATTGGGAGTTGGGTGGCATACAAATTTTAGTAATAGTAATAATAATCCATAATCATTTTGCAAAGTCATAAATTGAGCTATCTTTCAAGAAGCACAGACTATGACCTCTACAAACACAGATCTCAAACTAAGGGCTTATAATAGAATAATAGAGTTAGAAGGGACCATCGAGGTCTTCTAGTCCAACCCCCTACAAAAGCAGGAGACCTATACAATTCTGGACCAATGGCTGTCCAATCTCTTCTTAAAAGCTTCCAGTGATGAAGTACCCACAAGCACCCACAATTTATGAAGGCTGGTTAATTGTTCTCACTGCCAGAAAATTTCTCCTTAATTCTAGGTTGCTTCTCTCCTTGATTAGTTTCCATCCATTGCTATTTTCCTGCCATCTGGTGCTTCAGAAGGCTCCTTTTAGTAAACTTAGATTTGAGAGAGTTGAGCAAAGTAGTATTTACTAACTTTAATATGCCCCAATTGACTTTAATATTTTGTCAGTGAATTAAAAGTTCTTTACTTTTAAAGCTAGACTGTTGCAAAGAAAAAGCATTATTTCCATTA